TGATTGATTAATGGTAATGTTTTAATTTTCACTAGAAAAGCTGAGTTTCCCCTGTTCAGTCACACGTCACTTGTATCGCAAAATATCGGTAATGTTTGCAGTATTGGAAGCCATAAGCTTATTTTTGATATAGTAGTCTATTGTTATCTACCGATCTGTCTCTGCTCGCTGTATATCTCTCGCTCTATCTGTCCTTCTCTCTCTCTTCTTCTACTTTATTCTACTCTCCCTCTTTTTCTTCCTATCCTTTCCCCTTTTTTCTCTCTCGTTCTCTATATTTGTGTCTCTCTTTTCTTGTGATTCCATTTCTCAATTTACTTCTTCTTTCCTTCTCTTTCTTCGTTTCTCCCTCTCACTCTCACTCTCTTTATCTTTTTTTTATTTTTCTCTCTTTTTTCCAAGATAGATTAACAAGTCAGAGCGCGCTAATTTTGATAATTAGTGAGTTGATAGTTAGTGTAGTGCAAAATCAACAAATATTTTGTTAAGTTATATTGTTTGCAACAAAAACAATGTTCTTCTTTGTATACTAAGGGTTTGCTTAAATATATTAATTCCATTTTGTAAAACAATTTATTACAATTGCGTTATTGAGAACTAATATTTTGTAAATTAAGTCTACCAAGCAGTGATGACAATTTCATTACTTAATTTAAATACTGAAGTAAATTATGTGAAATTTTGCTTCATTTCCAATGAATAAGAATTTACAATTCTTAACGTTAATGCCTTTCGTTTCTCATTAATTACTTCTCCTTAGATATTTCTATTTCCTAGTCATCTCGGCCCTGCTTTTTTTTAAATATAAATATCTCTAACCTTAGTTGTATTGTGTTAAATTATACATCACTTTAATTTATTTAATATTAAAATTTATGGAACTTATCAAACAGTTCAAGACAGAAGAATTTGATTAGCAACCCTAACTTAGTCCACTCAGATGCTGATAAACACACCTCAAGTAAAGACCACATCAACCGAACATAAAAATTTTGTTACCATAGAAATTTTGTTAATAAAGCACCGAAGTGTTTTGGATAGCACACACAACGAATTAAGGACGATTTATAAAAATCTCACGTTTTGGGGATATATGTATATAGATAGTTATACATATGTATATACAAGAGTGGGGTTTTTATGTACAACAAATTCAGATTGTTAAAGGAAATTAATAAAATAAAAGGAAATTAAAGGAGGTCAAGAACAAGCACAATTGCAACAAAATTGCTTCCAGTCAGGGATTATATATGAGACTTAAAGAAGAAAAAGGATAAATAATAATAATCAAACACATTGAATACATTCAGAACAAAATTAAATTTGTTTGAATTATCTTTTTTAAACAAAAAAAAAACTATTAAGTCGATAGCTTAAAATGACAATGCAGTGGGTGGGTTTATTTTGAAAAAATTTATATTAAATTTGCTTTAAAATTGTTATTAAATTTAGTTTTAAATTTGTAATATATTAAATTTAAAATTTGTATTATATTAAGTTCGAAAATCGAATTAAGTTAAGTTTGGAATTTGCATAAAGTTTGAACATTATATTAAATTTAGCTCTAAACTTGTATTATAGTTAGCTTAAAATTTATATTAAATTAAGTATAGAAATTGAATTAAGTTTAAAATTTTTTTGAAATTAATTTTCAAATCTTCATTAAATTTAGTTTATAATTTATATTATATTAACTTTAAGATTTATCTAATATTAAGTTTAAAATTTTTATTATATTAAGTTTTTAAAATAAATAAACAAATAAGTTCAAAAATTAAATTAAATTTGTAATTTATATAAAATTTAATTCGAGGCACAACTTTATGTTAAATTTAAATCAAAACTTTAATATAAGTTTAAAGTCTTAAAATTTGTTTAAAAATTAAATTAAATTAAGTTTGAAATATGCATAAAATTTAGCATGAATTTTATTTTAAATATTTTATTTAAAACTTGTATAATAGCTAGTTTAAAATTTGTATTAATTTAAGTGCAACAATGAAATTAAGCTTGAAATTTATATTAAATTAACTTTCAAATTTATATTAAATTAACTTTGAAATTTACATTAAATTTAGATTAAAATTATTTTTTGAAGAAGAAATCTTTGAAATCTTCAAATTATTTGTTGAAATATTTTTTTTTTGTGATTAAGAAGATTAAATTTTATTCTCTCTTTTTGCTAAGCTAAAGTTAATTAAAATTTGTATAAAAGAATTAAAATTTAAATCATAAAAAATTTTTATTGAGATTAAAATATTAAAATTAAAATACAACATATGAAATTGAAAATTTTAATTTAAAATATTTTTATGTCCCAAACATTATCCTTGAATGGTATTTAAAAGAATTTTAAAGCAAATGACTTTTCATTCCTTTCCATGGTGTATGCAAATTACACAGAAAAATGATTCACTGGCTATGATTTTAATCCTCGTGTGACAGTGTCAACGTGGTCCATCACTTGGACGAAAATTAAATTATTAAATTATTGTCGTTGACGTAAAATGCTCCAAAAACTCGATTACATATTGTACAATTCCTTAAATTGCATACAAATTTCAATAAAATTGAATATTTTATTTTTGTGACGTATATGTTTTAAATAAATTCTTGTTAAATTTATTATTCCCAATCCGAATTTTTACTATACAAGCCTTTGTATTATTTCAATATATTAAAATTTTACGAATACCCATTGAGTTTGAGGTTCTAGTAGTAGTGGAGATATTAAATGTAATTTGAAATAAATACTATTTTCATTAGAGTGCATGTATCATAAATCATGGTTATATGTAAACAGTTATTATTACTAATGACTACATTTGGTTTTGTTAACGTATAAGTGCTATGAACAAAAGCATTTTTTCTTTATTAAAAAATCATTTACAACAAAGTAAATTTAATTATATGGCAGTGAGTAATGTATTTATAAACTCTGTGAATTATTTTTAATTTGAAATTATAGACTATAAGTACAGTTTTGACTTTATTTAATTTCATATGCAACAAAATGTTTAAAACCTAATACCTTTGCTTATATTGTATAAGCAATGAAAATAATTTTATCTCAACCAGAAATTATTAATGGTTATGTCAAAATCTTTGGAATTAAAGTATTTTAAACAAATAAAATTGTATAACATCTGTAGAACGATCTTAAGTTATAAACATTTTTCACCTTTTTCATAAAAAATTTTATTTAGCTCTCATATTATAAAGTGGCTATTCTTCTTCTTCTTATGTAGCACTACAGCCCAGTGTGAACCTTGGCCTCCAGCGTATTGAAGTTTCTATACAATAAATGTGATAAATGTAAAACACTAGTAATTGTTAAATTTAACAACAAATTTTTTAATAATTTTAAATATTAATTATTGTTAACAATACGGCTCTAAATGTTGCAACACATATTATAAGTAATATAAATATTCAAATATTATTTTTAAATATTAATTGTTGCTTACAATGCGGCTATATATGTTGCAACACATATTCGACCTGGGTGAGTTTTGTAAAAATTTATTATTAATTATTATAACTTATGTTATAAGAAATAGCTACTTAAAGCTACTTGAATTTCCATCTAAAGGCACTTGGCTGTCGGGAGGTGTCAATACTCTCATTAAAATGGCCAGCAAAGATATCAGTCTTGTGGTAGGTTTGTTGACATGTCACAGTCGATTTCAGAAACAGGCTAGAGGATGGAATTTCTCGTTTAATCTTTTCTGGTAGATGCCTATTTACTATATTCTTCTCTTTTCGAAGATTCTAACCATATTGATTATTACAGCCAGTCAGTTTAATCATTCGTATTGAAGTTGTGTAAAGAAAGTGCGTTTATTTATTATCTTAGAAGATTCTCTTTTCGAAAGTCCTGACCATATTGATTATTATAACCCGTCGGTTTAATCATTCGTGTAGAAATTGTGGAAAAAACGATGAAAATGCGCCTATTTATTATTTTAGAGGTTTCTCTTTTTGAGGATCCTAACTGTAACCATAACTAACCATAACTATTTGAAGAACTCTCTCTTTTCGATAATTATCATATGCTCCAACCGACCAATCGGTACCAGATTCTTTTTAATTATATTAATTGTGTTTTTATTTTAATTATTTTTAAATTTATTGTGGGTTGCAGAAAAAATTTTAAAAACCCTTATAAATTTGTAATTATTACTATATGCGCATAATAATTATACAAATATAATTTATAATTATATTTATAATTTGTGATTTATTATTATTAACTACTACTAAATTCAGTAAAATTTAAAACCTAAGTAAACGAAAATATTTAAAAAAATTTATATGAAATATAATATTACTCAAAAAGAAAAAGAGTGACTTATATCAACAAGTGGCCATATTCTATAATTAATTATAGCTATTAACAATGCCCTTAGGTTATTATGTTATTCCTTAGGACCAATTTAGGTCTGTTGGTCATTCTGTTGCGCCAATTTCTATTTACAAAACTATGATGTTCATAAAAATTTAAATTACTTTAAAATACCTCAGAAAGTAAATTTAAAAATAATATTTTTGTTTATTTTAGGACTTATGTAGAAGATAAATAACAACACAAGGAATACGGCACAACATATTTTGGAGGACTGATGTTATAAGCTAAACACTAAATTAGCTTGAAGAGAAGTTGATATAGCAAAAAGTATTTTATAAACAAAAAATTGTAAGCAGAAATATATATCACTAAAAATCAATAAAAGATATTAGAAAAGATATATATGGAAGGAGACAACAAAACGACCAATTTAATTTATTATATAACTAAACACATACCAAATGAAAAATACACAAAAAAGAATGAATTGCTATACAGAACAAAACCCCAAAAGTATGCAGCAAATAAAGTCAAAAATTTAAACCAATTTAAGCATAAACTGATGCATTTATTTAATTAAAAAAAATAAAGAGAAGCAGTTTATTGATCTTTAAAAGAAAAATAAAACTACTTATTAAGGAACCCACCGATTTATTAAGAATATACATATTGAAATATACAGAAAATAATTAAAGATGGGTTGCTCACCTAGTACCTTGGCAACATCGACTGCGCCGGACGTAGCAGATACCAATCAAACTATGCCAAGAGCAACACCCATTACAGAAGCAAATGAAAAAGATGATAATCTATTCTTTTGTATAAAATTTCGACGATCACGTTTGAGACGTTGTAGTCAACAAAATGGCGCTGATGGTAGTGCAGGCAGTACTGGAAGTGCGCTAAATGGCGACGATTTGCTCAGTCACGCACACATGTGTAATCAATCTCTATTGAATCCCACACAAACAAAAAATGAGGCTGACTATGAAAAGGTGAGTATGCATTCTTGTATAAAATAAAATGAACAAAAAAATAATTTAAAACAAGAATTTATAATAATTTCATGCTTTTTGATTGATTTAAATACATGTATTATGTGGTTTATTGATACCGCCTGAAGTTGCAATTAATTTGAATTGTTCAGAATTCAATTTCACATTGAAATGCAACACAAAATAAAATATCAAGGCTTTAAAGATACTTTTATATATATGTACATTTATACATATACAGATATGCAGGTATATATAGTGAATCGCAACGTAAGTTTCATATCCGCTTAACAACTTAACATGCAATGGTATTACGTGTTAAATACTTACATTCATACTATACATACATACATTAATACCGTACATTCTTATATTCATACCATATATACTTACATTCATACTACACGTGCATACATACATACAATGTGCTTTTTTGACATTTCATGCATCATTTTAAAAATTCTATGATTTGCATTCACATTTCCGCTCGATGAAATTCGAAAAAAGGGACTTAAATTCAAAGTTGTAGCTATCAGAGCAGCTTTTCAGTTGTCTAAAAAAGTGTATGTCAACCAAAAAACAAACACGAGTTCAACGCAAAATAATGAAAAATAGAAACAAAATTTGTTACTTGCGCTAGGAAGGAAATATTGCTTTTGTTGTGTTTAACCAGTACAAAGGAATCAATCAGAATGTGTCGATGTTTTACACATATTTCAGTTACAAGTCCCACATATATTGTTTTCTTGCTGTTATGTTTTATTGCGGTTTGGTAACAATTTTCTTTTCCATGGCACATGTCATCCATCCACTGGAACTGTAGTATGGGCGCACCATACTTCAAGAACTGTAGAAAATTCAACAGTCAAATACAGTTGCTTCTATGATTTCATACAAATCCTTTTCATGAGATTGATTCTCAGGAGAGTTTCCTGTATAAAATCTGTGCTAACGAGCCACTGTCGGAATGATGCATATGAGTTTGAAACGTGACAACGACGCATGCATCCGACATTTTGTTTTGTGTGACACATGTTAAACATTGCAATTCACACTTGTTTCACAGTTTTACAAAAACTTGATTTCCTTGTTTTTTTTTTTGTTCTAAATGTTTCCGTACAAAGGATATTTTTTTTACTGTTTGCCAATACATCCTTTACAATCTTTAGAATGGCAGTTAATATCAGATTTGTGTACAAATCAGTTCATTAAATCATCAAAGCATGAAATCTCATATATATAATAAAATTCAATTAAATTCCAAATATATATATATATGTTCATATATATATATATATATTTTTTCATATATATATATATATATATATATATATACATACACTTTAATTGCTCCCTATAAGCCAAAACATCATAAAAACTTATTGTTCTTTTTATTATTGAATTAAGAATTTTTTATTATATGACAAAAAAGCTATTTTTAATAATATAGTAAATATTCACTATAATAGTGTAAAGTAATAGTGAATAAAACTAAAAGCAATTTTTTTAATCAAGTAAGTTCTTGGATTAATCATAGAGATGTTTTGAATAACGCCAAGTATTCATCAGCAATGGCCTTCGAAGAAGCAGTTAGCTTCTTTTATTGTTCATATATAATACTTGATCCAGAAGTGTTAAGAAAATAAACCCTGCCCACTTTCAACCATGAACCAATGTATTAACGCACAAATCCAATGTAAACTTAGTTTGCGTTATTCAAATTTAGAGTTTTATTTATAACATCAAATAAACTGAAATATGTCAAAAAATACATAAAGGATAGATACCTGAAATTATTTGCGAAAACTAACAGACTTACCAACATCGCGTTGTCAAATCTCAGAATGGTTACAGGCTCCTCGGGGAGGTATACAGATCTGAGATTAATTATTACTTATTCTGATGAAGTGATGAACAATAATCCAGTCAAGGAGCAGAGAGGGGTTTTGAAGAAACCTCGCAGTTAATAGAGAGTAAAAGTGCTCAGGTGCACTGACTCAACTACCCTCAACATAATAATTAATTTTTTGTTGTTTATTCATAAACCACAATTTCACTTACTGTCTCAATAATTAGTACTAACCCATAAAGTACAGCTATATTAATTAACTATTGAAGCAAAATAATTTAACATATTGAAAAGCATTTAAACAAAAGCACAAAACGTAATATGCCAACAGGAAATATACGAAAATCGATCTAGATAATATTGATTATTATACAAATGTCTGTAATACAACAAATTTAAAATGAAATAAAATAAAGCTTAAATAATATTAAAAAGGAAATGCTAAAAATAAATTATAAAAATGGGGAAAAAGAGTCAACAGCATTCAATATTCTGAAGAGATAACTTGTTTTACAAAAATACTTGGACACTTGGGCCCTAAAAATGGTATCATTGTGATACCGCAGTTTTTAGGGAAATGATAACTATTAAAACGTTAAGAGTTGATTTTCCTTCACGGGATCGGAAAATCACATTGTCGCTTTCATAACGCGTTTATTGTCTATGTTGTTGATATTGGACATGGCAACTGTTAAAGTAAATTAAAAAAAGATACCGTTATTAGAAGCTGGAAAATCAGTTATCGTCTTCTGACAATCATCCGGCAAGCAAATAATAGATAAGCAACATTTTTCTTCTTCCCCGGCGACTGTAGGTTTTGGAATGTTAATTGGTGGACCAACCTAACAATGTGATATGAAAGTTAACAATAAGATAAATTTTAGTAGACTGATATGTGCTTAAATTATAAATATCCGATAAGTTAATTATTTTTTATTTAATTTTATTATCAATTTATTGTAAAAATCTTTTTTAATAGTAAAATTAACTTTATTATATCATTTTAAATTTTTATATTATTAGGAAATAGTAAAATCTGTTTAACTTAACTATACATATATATAGAGCTCACAGCTATGGCAATTTTAACGCTTACCTTAAAAAAATAATATTCATCAGTTTTATATTATCAAAATAAATTGTAAATACAAAAGCGTGCAGTTCAATGCATCTACATTGTCGTTATAAGTGCAAAAAAAAAAAATTAATAACTTATTCAAATATTATTCTGTTTATTAAAAACAAAATATAAAATATTCATCTATATTTGAATTAATTATTGAATTTTTTTGTATTTTTGTAACATGAGTCAGTTACAATTGAATCCATTTCAGTGAGCTTTTATGGAGAATTCGTTATTTTTCCTGGTCAAATCCTATAAATTTAATGTTAGTTTTAGTGCATTTTATTTCAATTAATTTTTCATGATATTCATTTACTTTATGTGCAATATTGAAAATCAAATTTTAGTGAATTTAATAAATTAATTAAAAATTTAAAATACCATATAAAAACTGAACTGCTTTCATTTATGCAAAGGATCTGCTATAAAGTATATTGTAAACTGGAAGAAAAACATTAATTGCACTATTTTTGATTTTTACAAGATAGGCAGTTAATGCCATCTTCATGGAACATATTTCTTTGTTGTTTTCAGTTCAATATTTATAAGTGAAGCTCATAGGATGAGAAATATTATTATAGTTAATTAAGAAATTGTATCACATATAAATGACTTCTGATCTTATCCATACTTTCAAAATAGTAGCAGCAAACTATCATATCAGGTAATTTTCAAATCAAGTTAAGTTCGCCTGGTATTTACTTTTTTGTTAATAAATTTTCGAATCAAAAATCTAATTTTCATACCCAAGGTTTGAAATAATTTCTTTAGAGCTATTGTACTTATTGTTAAAAAAATCCAATTATCGTAAGACTTATAGCTAAAAACTTATTTCAAGAAGTGCTTTTAGAAAGTTTTAATAATTTGAAAAGTATGTGTATAAATATAATTCTATAATTTATTTTGGGTTGAAGCTTCAACCTATCAAGTTTATTATCAGCTAAACTACCAGTATTCGTAGTTAGCTAAATCTATTCGATTTTTATCCTACCAGTAAACTTCATGAAAATAATTATCATGAAAATCGAAGCAACTATAAAGCTTGGATTAGTTTGCGTAATCCCCCATTGAAACACGGATTGATATTCGTCCATAAATAGCAGTACTTCTGAAAGTACCAATATTTCCGAATTGAAACAAAATAGTACGAAAATACATATTCGTATAAACTTTCGAGTTTAATATTCAATATTTGAAGATACCAAATCTCTTAGACCGTTATTAAAAGTTCGGTATGAAAACGTGCACTCTTCTCTAAGAAAAATTCTATCCCTGTGACAGTAGACCTATATTCGTATATAAGAAACTAACATACAAGTACATTGCCCAATGTACATAAACGGTTTAAATATGCCACACTGAAACACTGCTAGACATAAATTTATTTTCGAAACACTATATCAAAATTTAAAGTATGTGTCTAGACTTGAAATACCAAATTACTGGACATAAAATTACTTTGAAAACACTATATCAAAATTAAAAGTATATGTCTAGACTTAAAATGTTAAATAATATACTAGACTTTGGGAAGGCAATCATCCCTATCCTAAAAAATAAGCGACTCTTCCATAAACAACTCCCTAACCAGCAGGGTGCCAATTTGCTCCTATATGTGTAGGCGTTAACAAGACCACCAAAAATATATCACCAATCTTTGTGATAAAATATAGTGCTGAGATGTGGCTAAAGCTCAAATTTGCATCAGTTTTAGGAACAATTTTTATTGCCCCCCAAATCACTAATATAGCGGCTTTCAATTCATGCAAGTGATGAAGCTCTGCACTTGTAAAACCCAAAAACTTGCCTAGACGGTTGATGAAGAGTAAATTGTTTGGTATAATAAAAGTACACTGTATTCGATATAGAGTATTGTTTTTATATGTATGTATTATAATAAAAATATTAGAGAGGTTAAGGTAAGAGACTGGTTGCACTAGTAAACAATACATACAGAGACTATATTTTCAAATTCTCTCGCTTGCCATTCTCTTTGGAGGCGAAGATCAGTCACTATGTAAACCAGCTTTAAAAAGGTTCTGTTAATAAAAGAGAAGAATTCAGGGGTTCTTAAACTGCATGCACGGGATTTATCTATGATGTCCACATAATCAACTGAACAACCACTTGTAACGGAGGTACGGCACTAATACAATGCAAAAGCGGTAATTGGACTACTGAATCGAGTCGGCTTACAATATTACTATATACAGAAATTCATTAAACAGTTGCCAAAACAAAAAGGAATTAAGAATCTGTTTATATAATTTAATTAATTATTATAATATTATTCACACAATATTTTTTATAAATTTAACAAAATTTATAAAGTTTTTTAATAATATTCATTTCAATGAAATCAAACAGAACTGTTAACAATAATCACGAATAAGTTAATATACTATTACTTAAATAAATAGTAAATGATTTTTTGTTTATCTCAAACTTTATGATATTTTTGTTAGTTCGAAATTTTTCCATATTTTTCCAAAATTTTCCACTTCAATATTAACTTTTCTAACAACAAATCCACAATTCGTTTGTAGAGTTCATCACAAGTCCCATAACATTTGGGTGACAAAATATGTGGGGTATTTACCCTAATCTATTAAATGATTGTAACATGTTCATTAAATATTATAATGGAAAACGGAAAACGGAAAAGTATCTCATCATGAAAAAATAATTTATTATGATTGAGTTATAAAAACAAAACGACAATTGACATATCGTAATGTTTTAGAACCTCTAACTTCAGTCAGTAAATATTTGATTACGGATTTTTAACTACAATAAAATGCCAATATTATGTGTGATGTATATGTGAAAATATCAGTACATATATATGTATATACTAACATATACTCGTATATAAACACCGCAAATCATTAACAAATATACTTTACCGTATAGGGACATGGTTGGTTGTGATATCGTAAATGTTGGCGAAATGCGATTATGCTACGCAATCATTTTCCCTTTGTAATTTAATGGAAGGGATTTGAAGCAATTTAATTGCTGAACAAAATTTATTTCTCATTTTTATGTGAAATTATTTATGAAATTATTTGTAGGAAACTTGTTAATAGCTAAGATTTATGGATGCGGTAAGAGTTATTAAAATATTTGTTTTAGAAATTTCAACAACATTAATATCTTAATTGCCATGAATGAGTCTATAATTCTTACTTAATTACGACTGAAACAAAAGAGTGGCTGTATATTTATGCTATAATTTATTAAAAATCAAAAGGATAAGAGTTTTAGGTATGTAGAGTAAAATATTTAAAATTGAGTTTAATAATCAAAATTTTAATTAAAATAATCAAATGTATTATTGTAGTGTTTTTTAGGCAGAAGTGATCACTATTAAGTAATCTATAGCTTATCTGAAAGTAGATGATATATGTAACAGAGATATATAAATACTGTCAGACAGTCCAGCTGCTTTAAAGTCCATGAGTTCAGTCCAATTTACATCTAAGATGATTTTTGACTGCTACATATCTCTCAATGGAGTGTCGACGCAGCCCAACATTTCTTTTATCTGACTTTCCGGTCATAGGGATATTTTTGGCATTTGCAAAGCAGACAAGCTAGTCAGAAAATGTGCTTCAGACTTCTCTCGGAACACCTAAACAATTTGGGTGTTAACATCATGCAAATTGTTATTCAGTTCTTTCTGTGCTAAAGTTTTTAATAAAAAGTGGAAAGACTTAACGACACGTAGGTATCTGTATGCAGTTGGACTACGTTCCACAAAAAAAAAATAACCAATTTTCTCATTGACATGCCCCATAAAGATATCAATCTTGTGGTAGGTTTACTTAAGGTCATTACAAGTTATTGTAGATTAGGTTGTGGTTTCTCATCACACAAAATTAGTTTCTGAAGGTTGTATTTATGCCCAATATATAATATATATTATTAATTTGTATGATGGCGGTGGAAGTTACATATTTGTTTTGTAGAACCCTAATACATACATTCTTTGTAACAAAGGTAAAAAGATATTGTCGATAATAGGCATATCATATTGGGCTTTTCAATCTGTTAACTAGAACTTGGTAACTAGAACATAAATCATAAATGCATTTATTTTAGATCACTGGTGAATAGAAACCCAAACAAATACACGGTACTTTCTGTCCAGCATTTATTACAGTCGTTACAGAGACTTGACCGAAGAATAGATGATTTCAAAATTTATCTCATTATCAAATAAGATAATTTAGTAGCAGTTAGAAACGCCATTATGTCCTTTGGAGAAATGTTGATAAGTTGATAAGTACCGAAGTCTGAGTTCTTTGCTGTTTCCTCTTCTTCTTCTACTTACGTTCGATAGATTCTTTTTTACTCCGCAATGTCCAGTGAGAAACCCTGTGACAAGCCGGATGCCATTTATATTTAGTATTAAATATCAATCAGTCTGAGCTACTCTTTTCAGCCATTATTATTCGAACTAATTTGAATACTTTTTCTATTTGATAGACACAAAATTTAATCTTCCCCAGTCCTCTCTTCAGTCCTTTTTCTCAGTGTGAACTCTAAATGGAACTAAGGAAATTAATTGAAGTGTTTTGAAAAGTAAAGCACATAAAATTGAAGTTAACATGAAAACATTAAACCTCAAAATCGACAGGAAGTCACACATATAAAAGCATAAACACTCAAATACACTTAATTATGCTATAAAAAAATGTAGTGCCTCTTAATCTATATGTCGGTACTATGTAGACGTGGGCCGGTGGAGGATGCTTGTATGTTGTACTCGTATTTTCCAACCAGTCGAACAAATTTAATAATAATGAATTTGCCACAATGATGTGCTTAAAGCTACCAAGTGCTGCGCTGGTGAGAAGGAAGTAGAAATTTGCTAAACGAAACGAAACTCATCAAAAATCGATGTGACTAAAATGTGGCGTACGGCATTAGTCCTGCAGGAAGTGTGCTTAGATGCTTATGACTACGCCAAAGGAACTTTTCAAAATATCTGCGAGAATGTGTGTGTTTTTATTATTTTCCCATTTGGTTGTAGCTTTATTAACATCAAATACTACTTTATTTTGAGAACGTTTAAGAGAGTAGGCATAAAACTTCGTACTGCCAATAAAGTCGACATAAATCCTGTCTTTAGGGCAGGACACAAAGTGCACGTTTGAGTTAAAGTTAAAATGTGCGTCTACATATATAAAAGAACTACAATATATATTTAACAAACATTCATTTAAGTTAATGTAAGTAGATATGTTAACGATATGTACATATGAATGCATAAGTGAAAGTTGTGGTATATATGAATGGCACATATGGTATTTCTTATTTGTACGCAACTGTTACAATGCCTATTTGTAGTTAAGTTGTTATATCTATATGTATGTATATGTATATGTATACATATATTGAATATTATAATTCTATGATAAATATTTTTAATGGAAACATTAAAGAAATGTTTCTTAAAACATTTAAACCCTGAAGCAGTAGCTTTACATAAAATGAATTTTTTAAATTCAATAATTAAATCAATGGGTGGAAAATTTATAAATTATTAATGAATAAAAGTGGTTTAATATAACTAATTTGCTTTTGCATATTTAATGGAAATAATTAATTTTAAGTTTAATGATTAAATATAAAATTTATTGCTATTTTTCATTTATTTACAGATGAGCAGTGGCAAGAAGGACTCCATTGTCACTGTGGCAGCTTTAGGCAATTTCACCCATACGGTTGTGCGGCGCGCAACGGGAAGTGAGTATCATTTAATGGTTTATAATATTTACAAGTGAGCTTAATTAATACTGCATATACGTAAAATGATCAGAATGTTCGATTTAATTACATTAATTGGAAATTAATTATTTGATTTATATTTTAAAATTTAAAAACCATTGAAAACATTTAAAACATTAAATGAAGAATTTAAATAACTTTATCATCTCTTGTAAAATGACATCAATATAAAATAAATCAAATAGTAGACAAATAAATTAAATTTTGCAATAAATTTAAAAAATTTAAAAAGCTTAATTAAACATTCTACTGAGCACAGAGACAAGTGCAGACATCTCACTGCCTTTTAGTCACACATGACGAAAAATTGGATATCCCTTTTAACCGGCGTTACAGGAAGAGAGAGAAAAGGTATAATCTAATATTTTTCCTGGCAAAATTGAGACAGTCCATTGACAGTCTACAAAGAAATAAGCCAAATGAACATCCCAAACACAATCTTCGTAATCAACCGCGTATGTTAGCTTAAAAAAATGAGTTTTCGAGACTGGGAGTGTGGTATTAAACACTACCTTCAAAAAAAAGGAAGCTCAACCGCCAACAAATCCAATAAACCATATTTGTAGGCATCCCAGTATCAGTACTTCAATGAGATTTCTATTAAAAACTATTATGTTATGAATTTTTTTAAAAATAAATATTACGATTGAGGCCCTTAACTTCTTTTCAAAAATTGAATACAATTATTTATACATCACTTATTCTCTTAATAATTCTCTCTGAAATATTTTTGACTGTATTTTGTAGTACCATAAAAACTAACCTCTCTATTCCGTGAACTTGATAAATTTCTCACGTATTGGCAATTATTCACCATCTTGCTTTTTTGTCAAGGTTGACTATTTATCAAGGTTCACAATTTGTGAAGTTTGACAATTTGTCAAGGTTGACAATTTGTCAAGGTTGACAATTTGCCAAGGTTTTGATATTCTGTGCTATAAATAAAAAAACTTTTTTCTTGATAAATTGTCAAGTTGACAAATGAACTTGACAAATAATAAAATGCTCTTTACAAGCATTTTTCATAGTTTGTACAAAATTAAATTAACTGAGTGATAGAACTAAACTAATTGTGTTAAGAGAAAATCTCTGTTATAGTAGCTTTACGACTACCATAAGTTCACATAATCATGAAACTGATACGTTTGTTAAGTATTAATCAACTTTTATTAAAAAAAATCTTAAGTATTTTCTCTAATATTTCAGAATCTCAAACTATGTTGGTACTTTTATTTACACATTGAAGCTCTTTAGCATAGATTTTCTACGAAAATTATTATTCTGTGTTTAGTATGGTTACCTTGCAGTTTTTCACTTTTTAACTTCAGCTCCGTTTTTTTTTTTTGTTAGCTGGCACTTTGGCTTTAAATAATTTGGAATTAATAGAAATTAAAATTAAATTAAGCACTGACTGAATTTGCGAGTGATATGAAGGGGTTTTTAAGCATTGTAATATTTTTAGTATATGACTTAATTATTCTTATTAAGGATGCTAGAATTTATTTTTGTAGAGAAAAATTAAATATCAGCCTTTTACCGCTCTATTCTGTTGGCACTTCACCATAGTATTGACTTTGCATTTTTTCGAAGTGATTCATTTCATAAATTGGAGTTCTGAATATTATCTCACACTATTAAATGAATAGATATTAAAGGCTTATGAATATGTTAATTGTTAATTGTGAAACATAATAAATCATATTTATGTTTCACGAAACGTAAATATATTAATACCAAGAAGTCTTCAGTTTCAATTTTCAACAAAAAATAAAACTATAGAGATTATTAGAGTGTCAAAAGCTGATATATTACTTTTAATTGCATATTCGATGTACTGATTTAAGTACCGTGAATATAATACTAATTTGTTACCATGGTGACCAACATCAATGCATTATAAAAAATGTACATTATCAAAATAGTTTATAGATGTTTTCTTATTTTTATTGTTTTATTAGAAAAGAAAAAAACATTTGAAATATTTTATTTACTAAAAATTCTAAAATACCATTAACACCCTTCTACACCGTATTTATTGTAAACAATACTTAAATTATGACTACCGATAAATTTTTATGATCATAGGTAATCATCATTATTATAAGCTATAGTTAGCATTGATAATACTATCGATAGTTTTTGTATAGTGTTATCAGTAATTCTAATAATTATCAAGAAATCTATGAGCTGTGTTTCTCTTTATCCCAAAAACTAAGCCATATTGACATATAGCGTAGTGCAAAAAATTGCTAAATATAGCTGTTCGTTACTGAAATTCATTATCAAAATGGGCGTGTTCCAGAAATAAATAAGGAAAATATATAATATGCTATAATCTTAAAACATGAAAGAAAATGTATTCATTGCTTTAGTTAAATGTTAAAAGAAGCGTGGATCGCATAAATTTCTTACAAAATATCGAATTACTCGACTAAACTCACGAAATTGACGATTAAATTATGATATTTTTATATTCATGAGTCACTGTTATGAGCGATTATATACCATATATGAAAATAACTACACATGATTAATAAAACTTTTTAGATTATAAACAATTGAAATAGTACAGAAAATTTTATCTCCATAAATGCCAAAATTTATGTGTGACATTTTTTTTTAAGTGTTCCTATCACTTTTATCAAATCTGTATTAAAATAATAAGCCAAAAAAGCCAATAGGTAATAAATTGATAAAAACTTCTTAACAGCAAATAAAAATTATAGATATGTGTATATAATAAAATTAAATAAAAATAGTAACAAATTATATTAAGTTTGTTAAATAAAGTTAAACTCACAAATATGACGTTTACGGTTACGAGCACATTTGACTTAATTACGTTCGTAATTATGACCATAAAAGGAGTGAGCAAAATTTTTAAACAAGTTTTTAAGAAATAAATTAAAAATTATTTCATCTATATAATATATATGTAACACACGTAAGTAATAGTTGTGATTTTAATTTGCAGAATTTCAATATGTAACAATGTGCATGCATTCACCTTTTCGAATGCGTTTTCTTGAAAGCCTATAATATTAGAATGTGCAAAATCTGAGTTAATACTATAATTGCTTAATATATCACTTCACTTGAAGTATAAGATTAACCAGATTTATAAATAAAATCTGTTTACACTAAAAAAAAGTGATTGAAAGAGCAATAAATATATAAATCAATTTTTAATCTCCAAAAGTCAATCTAATCTGCAAACATAGTTTTATAGGTGCTTAAGCTCAACAGATCAGATATATTTGTTTTGCCTCTATTGATTACCTAGCATGTGAATGCAATCGATTAATTTTTAGACTTAAATATCTGAATTCGTTATAATTATTTATCGTGTTAGATCAACAAATTTCCTGTGTTATGGCAAATCTATTGTTCTCAAGACTTTTCTCATTACGATGATCTTCAGAGAATTATACCTTCTTGTACTGCTAAAACGAGGTAACTGCTAAAACGAGTTACTGTACGATGTTAAGAATATTAAAGAAATCTTTTATTACACTGACTTTATTACCTTTTGTTTCACCCTTTTGTCTCTTTTAACTTAACAGTATACAACTGTTCAACTGAAAGGCTTTGTATATATTAATGTATTTGACATTTATTTGCATTTATGTTTCTGCATAAAGACACACCTATATATCTCAAAACCATCAAAAACAGCAACAATTGCCGCCATAGAAAAGTTGGAGTAAAAAATTGAAAGTAAAAGAACTTAAAATCAACAAAACTGAATTACCAAAGGCGCTCATAGACCTGGTAAGAAATATTACCAAGTTCTAATTTGGTAACATATCTCTTTCTCTTAAATAAAGAAATAAAATAATTTTCTTAACACTAGTAGCTTCAATGAATTTTACACAAGTTTTTGAGAGAAACGGACAGAAACAGATTAGATACATAACATATCATCACTTGAGATATATGTATCAATAACGAATTTTAAAAGACAATTTGTTTCTATTTCCGAGAGGAAGCTCTGCTTATTAATATTAGTAGCTTCAAATAATTTTACTTGAACTTTTAATTTCCTTAATACTTAATTGTGTGCACTTCGTGCTTAAACTTTAACACTAGATTAACCTTCCTTTAATCAAGGTTAATTATATCTGGCGTATAATCATGTCCTGCAACCAGAGTATGCTGGTTAACACTACTAATGTTCTCTCAATGGAACAATGAGACCGTATTGGAATATGTTGCCCATATTCCTGGCAACATTGTAGATACTCAAGTCGAGTAAATACCGAATATAGTACTATTGTTCTTTCAATGGAACAATAAAACAGATTTGGTAAATTTTGCTCATATTCCTGGAAACGACGCAGATAGTAAAGTTCGGAAAACTATCTATCATTTTTTTCAATATGTGCTAGTCTAGATATAGTGAATTTCAGTAAAGAAGGAGATTGGTTGCAACAAATATATAATTTTAAATCCGGTTCTAACTATGTCTTTAGTATGTAATACATGTCTAATCGATATAATAATGATTTATAATAATGATTTTATTTACTCAGCCTTTCTCAATTAAATGAATATATCTTATATATATAATTCTTCTGTGTGTGTGTTGACAGTGAACTCCTCCTAAACGGCTGAACCGATTTTGATGAAATTTTTTGTGTGTGTTCAAGTGGATTCAAGGAAGGTTTAGATTTATAATTTGGCCCACTGGATAATGTCTTTTTAATTAATTTTTTATTTTTTGGTATCCATATACATTTTATTAGAAATTTAAAATTTATTCATGCTTACTTTGATTTGTTTAAAAAGTTTAAAATCTCTAAAATGAATCGTAAAACTACCATTGCATAAAATCCACATTGCTTAAGTGCATTTAAATTCCGCAGCATAATTATAGGTGAGCCAATTTTTAATCTTAAGTTATGTGGTGGTATTCCTGGTAAATCCAGCGAATTCAAAAATTCAACAGGCACTCATTCGAAACAACGTTCGCCGGATCAAGTTTTTAAGAAATAAA